AGAAGTAAATCAAAGTGGGGGAGACGCTGGCACCTGCACAGCACCAGAGGCAACAGATCACTTCTGCCCAGTCTCTGAAGCGGAGTCGCAGAGCCTCCCAGAACCACAGGGAAGCGAGTGAGGGTGAAGGGGCCCTGGTCTGGGGGGGTGAGAGCAGTTCCCAGAGAGTCACGTGAGCCAGTAGGAGCTCTGGAGCTGGACAACATTGCGATCCAACAGTCTGGATGAGGTTTGGAGAGTTAGTTGGAGGGGGCACGGGAAGACCCCAGGGGAGCCTTTGGGGGGACTGCAGGAGGCCAGGTGAGATGGAAGTCTGACTGAGGCATGTAGCAGGTATAGTTTGTAAAAGTCACATGATTCCTAGACTGAAGAGATCGCACAGCGGGGAGGGCATTTGCCTTGCATGCGGCCAACCCGAGTTCCATCCCCAGCATCCCATATGGTCCCCCGAGCCCCATCAGTAGTGATCCCTGAGTGCAGAGTCAGGTACGCAAAAGGATACGATTACTGGCCCGGGGGTGGCCTCTCAGTCACAGGGTAGTTGTGGAGTCGGGAGCCCCTGGGGGAGAAGAAGAGAAGCTGTCCGCTGTCTTTGGGACTGGACACATCATTCTGGATTTGAGCTTGCCCCTTCACTCCCCCCTCTCTGCAGGGAGCTCTCTTGATCCCCAGACTGGGGGCCTTCTCTTTGAGAAATGTACTTCCATATTTCTTCCTCTGCCACCTTAGACTTACATGTCCTCCTTGGAGCAGTCTTTAAAAAAAAAAAAAAACTGACGGACCAGAGCCATAGTACAGTGGGGAGGGCATTTGCCTTGTATGTGGCCGACCTGGGTTCAATCCCAGGCATCCCATTTGGTCCCGTGAGCCCTGCCAAGAATGATTCCTGAGCACGGAGCCAGGAGTAAGCCCTGAGCATCACTGGGTGTGGCCCCCAAAACAGAACAGAAATCCAAGCTAGGGGCTTGAGCTGTCTACAGCAGATAAAGCGCTTGACTTGCATAAGGCCAGCCAGCCAGCCCAGGTTTGATCCTGGTACTCCGTGTAGACCCCGGAGCCTGCCAGGAGCAATTTCTCGGCACAAGCCAGGAGTAAATCCTGAGCACCACTGAGTGTGGCCCCCAAAATAAAACAAACAAGTCATTACCAACCTTATGCCCTCTTTCTCATCCCTCTGTTTCTGCAGTAACTGTCTGGAGAGAAAATACTGCCTTTGGTCTGAACTGGAGCCATGATGTGCACAGCTGAGGGCGGGTCTGAAGGGGATGCTCGCTCTAGCCATCTGGAACTGGTGTCGGGCACTGTGTAATGGGTTCATTTCAACCTTTTCTGCTTTTAAGCTAGGGCTCACTGAGCAGCTTATTTAAAAGTTGTTTAATAGAGTTGCAGGGAGTAGTTCCCTATACTAAACACTTAGTTGAGAATTCCTGACATGATTTGTGATTTGGGCATTTTAAGAGTTAAGCAGAGAGGGACGGGATGTGTGTGTGTGTGTGTGTGTGCGCGCACACACACACACACACACACTCCAGGATCGAACCCTGAGCTTCATACAAACGAAGCATTCACTCTAATCACTAAGCTAGAGTCCTAGTCCAGTTAAACAGATGCTAATCAATTATATCAAAGGCCTCCACCCTCTTCTCTCCTCAATTCAGAAGGCAATAATACAGTTCTGGATTTGTAATCAAATGTGGTCTGTGCTTGGCTAGTTTAGTGGGACTGGATTCATATTAAATCTGGCCTGTTTACCATCAGTCTAGATAATTTCTAAGAGAGAAGAGAGGACACTGATGAAATTTACAGATGAATGAACTGAGAGGTCAGGAAGGAACAAGAAACAACTTTTAAGAGTCTCGGAGACACTGGAAACGGGCAGGAAATAGCCAAGTAAAAGTCAGCTTGGAAAAATGTATATAATCTATCCAGGGGAAAAAAATACAAGAGCTACATGGCTGATTATCCAGAGGATAATGTGACTGTTGGGAATAGTGCTTCCAAAAATACAGGTATTACAGCTGCTCTTCAAGTCGTTGCATATTGAAAACCCTAAAAATCTGTGCATTGTTGGGCTTTTCCCAGTGATTTCAAAAAAGGATGTGCACAGAAATGATGATGACTGAAACGCTTTACAGTGGTCATACTTTCAGGCTAAGGATTTGATCAGCCCAGTTGGTGTGAGTCTGAAAACCGATGAGAAGTTAGTCTAGCTAGTTAGTTAGCTAGACTCCTTCCTGCAGTACATGAATTTGATGACTCCATTCCCTCTTCTTCTCATTCACATCTCAACTGCAGAGCTAGCTATCAACCAAAGGAAGAAAACAAAAAAAATCTAAGCTTTCTGTCCTCCTCCTCCTATGATGATCTGCCTGATTCTTAAAGGGCAGGGTGGGGATTCTGAACACTGAGTCCAGGTTTTTTTGTTTTTTTGTTTTGTTTTGTTTTCTTATTTTTGCTTTTTGGGTCACACCTGACGATGCTCAGGGGTTACTCCTGGCTCTGGCTCTGCACTCAGGAATCACTCCTGGCAGTGCTGGGGGACCATATGGGATGCTGGGAATCAAACCTGGGTTGGCTGTGTGCAAGGCAAATGCCCTACCCGCTGCTGTGCTATTGCTCCAGCCCCTGAGTCCAGTTTTTGAAGTTAATCCTTAACCCTTCCTTTTTTGGGGGGTTGGGGGAGTCATTTATCGCTCCTGCTTTTAATACAGAGACCAGAGGACTATGGCCAAGAAGTTGGATGGTGAGAGTCACGCTTGTGCTCCTTTGTTGGTGAGATTGGGTGCGTGTCTGCTGCTCAGTCACAAACTCAGCAATTTGTTGTTACTCTGCATTTGTTACGATCTATTATGTGACAGTCACAAAGGAACTAAGTCCCAGAAGGCAACTTATGCAATGAGGCGGGGTGGGTCCTTGCAGCGACCGGCCAAGAGCGTACAGGGGGTGAGGACAGGCATGGCCCTCTAGGAATATCATCATGTTGTATAGTGACTGAGGAGCAACTCAGAATCAGGACTCTGTCCCCAAGCGACAGAGACACAGCCGCAAGAAGAGCAAGGTTGAGCTGAATATCAAGACTAACTGCCACCCAGACAAACTGCCACCAAGATGCCACTGTTTCAGAAGCCTCAAAGGCCACACCCAGGAAAAGAAGTGTCACACATCCAAGAGATTCATGAGAGTTCATGTTTTAGTACCTTGCCCAGCAGGGTAGTAATGACTTCTATTTAAAGCAGTGCAAAACTGATGTAGTATCTAATCAGAGTAATTCTGCGTATAATCATGCTTAATAAAATACGCAGATATGTGTTTAAAATAGAATACTCCTCCGGAAAATATTTCAGAGCTGCTCTGAGATTTTGCTGTCATGTCCAGAACGTGTTTGAGGCTGATACTGTCTCTCCCTCTTCTTCCCGATCCAATACTACGCACCATCCCGGACTGCATTTCCTAGTCTCAGGCTGTCGAGATTACTAGAGTCTGTTACCCTTTTGGCACTATGAAGCTTGATTTTCTGCCTTAGAGATTGCTCAGAAAGGCCTCTCTGCTTCACCAAATCAAACAGGTCCCAGACCACCTGAGTCCATGCGCACCAGCATAGATTTCTATGTGGGGTTGTTTGGGGGGGTGGGCGAGGCACATCTGGCAATCTGCGCTCAGCCACTTCTGCCCCCTTGGTGTCCAAGATTGAAGTGGGGGCGTCCTGCATGCAGGCATGCGCACCCGCCCTTTGAGCTGTCTCCCCGGCCCCACCGCAGAGCTTTATTTGTGAGCAGATGAACAGAGAGGCCCATTTACTAAGAGCGTCTGTGTCTGTGTGTGTATGTATGCATTGAGGGGTTTGTATGAGTGTAAGCATCGCTATGTTGGGGGGGCTACCATGTTACCTAAAAGTTGTTTGTTGTTTTTGCTGTGCTGGAGATCAAACCCAGATCTCATGCATGCAAGGTCTGCGCTTGACCGCCAAGTCACAACCACTTTACCAGGGGGCCCCTCCTTTTCAGTTTTGGAACGCTTTCTGGTTGTTTGATTTTCCACTCTCCTCTTCCCTCTGATGATGCCGATCTGAGGTCACTCACACATGTGGGTTTAGTGCTTACCCGCGGTCACAGTGCTTTTTTTGATTTTCGGGGCTGGCACATTCTCACCAGACTCTCTCGCTTTCATTGTGTTCACGCCGGATGTGGGATGTGGGTGCAGCTCCCACATCTTTGCAGCTGCTACAGCCCAGGGTGTCATACCCTCTACTTGCACTATTCCATCCGTGACTACTGTGAGACTGGAAATGGCTCATGGCACCCCCGACCACAGACAGCAGAGCTGCTGGGATTTAGCGTGAGAGGGACGTGCCAGGGCTTGAACTTGTGCCTCACAGTTCCAGGCAGGCACTTGGGCTCCAGAGCCGTCTCAGCCCCTCATAAAAACTTTCAGACCTCAGTTAAGGAAAAGTCATTTCAGAGTCGATTTCAGAACCCAGTGGAGATTTGCTTTCTTCTTTCACCGTGAAGTGCAACCAAAAGATCTTTCCGAAAGTCTCTGTAATGGAATTGAAAATTCCTTGTACTCTGTCTACTGTAAATGGCGCCGTGTAAGAGCATTTGTTCCATTTCTATTTCATTAGCTGTAGATTTGAGTCTCTTAGGGTCACAAATACACAGATGTCATTTCTGGGATTATCTGGTCGTTTTAGTAACGTGAATGAAAGCACTATCATTAAGGAATTTGTTTTCACATCCTGTGGAACCAGTTATGTTCAGAACAGGTATTATATTCTTACCTTCCTTTTTTGTTTGGGAGTTTGAGATCTTGGTATTTCAAACCATAGCAGATCATTTGGTCGTTTAAAAATAATTAAGAACTGCAAGTGTCTTTAAAATACTAAGTGAGCTTTCTGTGTGTGTGTGTGTGTGTGAGAGAGAGAGAGAGAGAGAGAGAGAGAGAGAGAGAGAGAGAGAGAGAATTGTCAATCCCTTTACACACATTCCGTTTCCATCTTGCAGGTGTTTCACCAAAGCGAGTAGCACTTTCAGCGTCAGTCCCCTTCCTGTGCTCCCAGTGGCTACCCCTTGTCCTCAGGAAGGAATGGAAATGAAACCACTAGGTCATTTGAAGATGCCTGGATGTCTGGCCTCCACAGTCCCCAGCTGTGGCCAAGCCCCTGAGGAGCAAGTCAGTGAAGACGTGGCACCAACACCCACTCAGCAAACTTGCTGTCAGTACAGTAGACACGAGATCAGCCCTGACAGCTCGGAAGATACAGCAGAGTGCAGCACAGGTAGGAGAGACATTCTGTGCCTCTGAATTCAGTCCTGATTTCCCATTGGTTTGTAGGTTTGAGGAGAGATTTGCCCGATTTGCCCGTGTGGGGTGTGTGTGTGTGTGTGTGTATGTGTGTGTGTGTATCTCCCACCACCCCCTACCAAAGTCCAAGGGCATCATAACTATCCAGGTGATCCCCAACATAACTAGTTATGTTGGCCCAGTTTTCCAGAGTCTGGAGTCTGAGAGTTATTTCTGTTGTATTTGGCATCTGTCTGCTTTGGTTATATTCCACATATGAGTCTGCTTTGCTACTTGTTTTTCACTTCTTGCAAAATAGCATTTCAGAATCCATCCAGGTTTCATCCTCGTCCTCTCAAAAGGCACAACTTTATCCTTTTTAATAGCTGAGCAGGATTCCTTTGAATGTATCAAGCGTACTGTTTTTATCCCGTAGAATAGTTCCTGCCCTTTTCTCTCCAGTTTTAGCTATAAATAGCATCTTTCACTGTGAATCTCTTTTGTCTTGTCATCGGATGAGAATTTCTTGCATGCCTAATACTGATGAACCCTACTTTTCATTCTCCACAACCTCTCTGTGTCTTTTGATGGGTGAGTTCATTTTACTGCCGGCCTCTGTTTCCTGTGTGTGTGTGTGTGTGTGTGTGTGTATCTGTGTGTGTATCTGTGTCTGTGTGTGTGTTCTCTTTTGTTTGTTTGTGGTGTTGTTTGAGGGCATACCCAAAGGTTCTCAGGGGCTACTCCTGGCTCATTGCTTGGAGATTGTTCCCGGCGATTCTAGGGGGGCCATGCAGTGCAAGGTCCAGTATGCAGAGCCTGCATTCAGCCTTCTCAGCCCTCTCTGCAGCCCTAATCTTTCTCTGTCCATGAGTTTTTGTCAGTCTTTTTTCTTTGGATGTTTTCCCTGGTGAATCAACATCTTCATTTTCCCCTAAGTGCTCTAGATGTTTGTTTTGTGTTTACCATGAGGCTTGAATTCATCTCTTAGCTGTCTTAGTCTTTTCTGTGCTAGACACCAACTTGCCTTTGTCCTTATGAGCATCTGTGAGTATTTTTATGTAAAGGCCACACCCAGCAGTGCAGAGGGGACACAGCGGGAGTGGGGATCAGAGTTACGGGGGATGTCTTGGGCACTACTCAGCCCTGTAGCCTGGGACCACAGTCAGGGCCTCACCCTTCCAGGCTTTTGTTCTCCTACTTGAGCTATCTACCTGGCCCCACCTCTTCAAATTTAAGTTTCTCAGTAGTATTCAGTTGGCCAAGAACTATCTCAGGAAAGATGTTTTCCTGATTTTTCTCTGTGATCAGCTCACATACTTCTTAAGAAAGTGAGCGTGGGGAGGGTTGCATACTTCCAAATCCGAGTTGACCGAAGGATTCTTTGACAGTCTGTTATTCATGTCCTCCTTTATCATAGACTACATTACATTCCAGAAACAAATCCAAATAGGCTTTTGTTTGTTTGGGGCCATATCCAGCTGTGATGGTGTGCAGGAGACCGGGTGCAGTGCCAGGAATTGAACCAGGGTCAGCCATCTGCAATAAACAACTTAGGACAGTCCAAAAAAAAAAAAAGCGATTTAACTCCTGTGCTATCTCTCAGGCCACCAAATAGACTCTGATTTCCTTTGTACCAGAACAGTAGACTTGCTGGAAGAAAGTGTTTTTGTGATCATGGGACTCTTTTTCAAATTCGAGTGGATTCTGGAACTTTTGTCTTTCAGATGATCACTTAGGGGCATTAAGGAGTTTGCTTTAACACATCAATTTGTGTATCTGATCATCCAAATTCAGTTTTATCTTAAACCACTAAATCTGCTGTTTTCCTCACTTCCAGAACATAAGCTGGCTCAGTTTTTGCATTTTTAGATTTATGTATTGCTCAAAGTAAAAATAATAATAATAATAATAATGTTAGACCACTTTGTGAAAATCAACCTTGGTGTTTCATCGTGCTTCCCGAAACCTGTGTGTTTTTCAGGAGACAGCTGTGTGCATTTGGAAACAGAGAATAAAATGCTAAGTTGGAATCATCTTATTCTGCCCCCCGTCTCAAAGGACTGTACGGAAAAGGCATGGTCTCCAGATACTCCACTGGGCAGCCCTCCGGGGGTCCTTCAGCAACCCCAGGAAACCTGAACATGTGCAGACAGCTAGCCAGGTCCCAATTCAAGCCAGTCCCTGCCCAGAACAGACCTGGGGATGGACTGTGTGAAGGACAGCAGTTCAAATCCGAGAGAACCGTTATTTATTTTTGTATTTTTTTTTTTGCAGTAGTGATGTCATTTGAATGTATCCTACACATGTGCCCGTTTATATTATTTATACCTAAAGATTTTCCCTCCCTGTTTCTTCTTCCCTTCTGTGGAAAACAGTCCAGTCTTGCGTAATTCCCACCATCCAGAGGGAGGGGCAAGGATCTTCCCCTGGGCTCCAGGAACCCCCTGACAGTCAGCAGCCTTCCTCTGCCAGGAGCCAGCCCTTGAGCTGATTCAGCCACGCAGGGGCTAATTGCCGGGGCCGTTCGGGTTTCCAGCTGGAACGCTGCCTCTCAATGGTCTTACCAGACTTTCTGAGAGTCGCGGTTGAAATCAGCCCTGGTTGTAACCTGCTCTTTCTTGCAGCAGGTCTTAGGGATTTGGTGAGTGGTGGCTGGCCTGTCGGCCCGTGAGGATGAGCTGTGTTCCATTTTACAGGCCTCATCATCCGAAGCAGTGTCTCGGACACGGCTGAAGTTACCGCGGTGCACAGAAAGGGCCCAAGGCCCGAGAGAAGAGAATGCCTCCGAACTCTTCGACTTTAAACCTGCATTCGCTCATAGCATGGTCGCAGTGGCCATTTCCAAGAGCAGGAATAAAGAGAAGGGGCCACTTGAGAGAGAGAAGGAGTCTTTCAGAAAAAGGGGCTCCAAGAGGCCCATCTTGGCAGATGGTTTCTCTCCACTGTGGAGGGTCCCGCTCTCGATGCCACACTTTGTCACTTTGCTCGTTTCCAGCCAGGGCAGATCCTGGAAAGATGCGTCTCTCAGAAAGGACTAAATCTGCAGGGAGAGGGGTCGGGTGGCGACAACCCATTGTTTTCAGAACGTTGTCACTGTAAACAGGCACCGCTAGCTGTGGTGAGCCAGCTCATGAATCACAGTTTCTGCTGCCATGAGGGACAGTAACATTTACGCTGTCGTGGGAAGCCACTTTTTTCTCCGCATCTTGTAAAAACACACACACACACACACACACACACACACACACGACACTGTGTGTTTAAGAGCTTGAGTCAAGCTTTAATGGGACACTGTCCTCTGTCCTCTTTTGGATTGTGTGTCCCTGTGGGGGAAAAAAAACAGAAAATGATTCTCTTTAAGTAGAGTCAAAGCTCTTCCAGCTTAAATGAAAAAAAAAAAAATTCAAATTTCCGAGAAATTGCAGTGAAATAGACTAGAATGCTCCATTAATCAACTTTCCCCCTAAATGCCGCTGCCTATATATTTTATAAATAGAACCATTAGTGAAACGGTCACTTCCAGCAGGGCCTCAAGGCATGAATTACTTTGAGTAGAAAGTAGGGAATACAGTTTGGCAGCCAGGTGTCAGGGGTGCTACGGAACCGCGTTCCACCTTCCAGATGTTCGTGCCTGTCGGAGTCTGGATTCCGTTTTCAGGTCGCTTAGATGCAGTTGGTTCTGGAGGGGGCCAGCTGCGCCCCTCGCCTCCGTGACTCGCCGAGGACAAGGTCATAGTGCAACCAGAACATCAGAACATGAGGACCTGCTCTGTTTGCCGGTCCCATGATCGCCAAGCTGCTCCCCCCCACCCCCACCCCAAGGGCCGTGGAGAGAACAGGGGAGTCTGGGTAGGCAGTCACCTCCTTTCAGGAAGCGGAGGTGGAGTTGCTTAAGCCTTAGGTCAGAAACTGCTTAAGAAAAAAAAAATTGAGTTTGAAAATCGGAATTGTCCACTAGGAAGAGAAAATGACTTTACCTTGCAGGTACTCTCACTGTGGACAGTTTTATTTATATTTTTATAGTGACGCTGTTTTAAGTGTTCTCCCTCTTATTGTATTTTATTTATAAAAAATGCCTTTATATATTGAGATATATAAATATATATATTATATATATAATAGCCTTTATGTTAAAGTTCTCCCTCTTGGGGTACGAGTCGTCCTGAACGTCTCATGTCCTGCACAGTCACCGGAAGCAGCCCTGCCTGCCGTCACCTCCCCAGGATGCCCTCTGAGCCTCGCCCTGGGGTGGAGATGGCACTAACATCTGTGCCAAGCAGCTGTGTCCCAGGCACTGTGTAGGGCACTGCGCCCTCGTTAACCCAAAGCGGGTGTTAAAATCCCCAAGACCCAGGGCGAGCCTGTCCATCTGGAACCGGAGTTGGAGCTCCTCTGTCTTTCCACACTGTTCTCCAGAAGTTCTGTGGTTCTCACCAGTGGCCCCAAGCCAGGGCCGGCTACTCCCATCCTCCCCCGACACGGCTCAGTTCCCGGGAGGCACCGGCTTCAGAGCTCTGGGCCTGGGCTCCCAGACCCACCTGCCTCCCCCATGCCCTTCCCCGCACCCCTGCCCGGACATGGGCCTTTTCAGCAGCTTCCTCGTCCTGGAGCGCTCAGGCCCATTGATTCCTTCACCTTCGAGAACTCTGAGACCCTCTCTTCCCTCATCCTGGCATCAGTGCACACACATGGGCCTGTCTCTGCCCCTTTCAGCTTCTCCTAACATCATTGTGTTGGGGTCCATGTGTGGTCAATCACCGACTCTGAGACACCCGCTGGGCTGTCCAGAAGTTCGCCTCTTCCTTGGGGTTCGCCCGGGTCTGCTCTCTTTCAAAGCATGTTCTGTGTTCTCTTCCTGAACAGTATGTTTTGTGCTCCTGAAAGCTGTCGTTTTACGTTTTGGAATTGTACATATTTTAAAGGATGTAGCTTTGATGGGTTTTATGTGACATGGTTTTATATTAAAAGAAAACGCTGCTTGCACTGGTGTGGCTCGTGAAGTGAGATGGGAGATGCCCAGATCTCCTTGTTTCTGTTACTCTAGTTGGGCATGGGATGTGGGTGGATCGCACTTAGAAAATGCTTGGGAGGGGCGATAGCACGGCGGGTAGGGCGTTTGCCTTGCACACGACCGACCTGGGTTCGATTCCCAGCATCCCATATGGTCCCCTGAGCACCGCCAGGGATAATTCCTGAGTGCAGAGCCAGGAGTAACCCCTGTGCATCGCCAGGTGTGACCCCAAAAGAAAAAAAAAGCTTGGAGACCTTGTACCCCACCCGCTGGGGCCCCAGAGGAGAGATGCAGGCCTGGGCCAGAGGCTCTTGGGTAAGAGCTTCTGGGGAGAAATTCCTAAGCCAAGATCCCAGGTGGGCACGCCGACTCCTGAGTGGGGCACAGTGTTTCTCTGGAAGGAAGAGGGGCTGGTGGGAGAGAAGCCTGGGGAGGAGAGTGAGGAGGAGCACCTGACTCCAAGCCCCACCATGAGTTATTTTTATCACAGACTAGAGTAACTTCAGGAACTTGAGAGTGTTCCTGGCGGCTTCCGTGTCTGCCGCGGAGTCTGACGCTGAGCTGAACCTTTCCCTGTTTTGTTCCCCCTGTTCAAATCAGCGTTCCTGAAGACCTGAGCCTGTCAGGACACCCGAACCCCTCTTCTAGGGAGGGCAAAAGCTCGGAGAACCAGGCGCCTCGTTGCTTTCCGTGCCTTTGCCCCTTGGGCATCGCCGCCCGACACCCCCCTCTTCCTGGCAGGCCTGTCCCGCTGTCCCTTCGCCTCTGGATCCCCTGTGGCAGCCATGCTGTGTCCCGGCGCCTCATCTGCTCAACAAGCGCCTGTTAGTGCTTTACCCAGATTTCAGACACGCTCTGGGAACCCGTGAGCCATGCTGGCCATTGGCATCGGGCTCTGAAACGGCTCCGGCCCCCTGTCAGCCAGCACCTGTCACCCAACCCAGGGCCTGATGGCCAGAGGCTGCCTGTGGCATCCTGGAACTGACCCCCTGGGGTGGGGGGAAGGGAGCTGAGTGTGGGGCCCACACTCCAAGAGGAGCCCAGTGCTGGCTGCGGTGGCCTGAGCTTCCTCCCCAGGACTGGGGAGTTGCTATGGGGAGGACCCCTACAGCTATAGCAATGGGATCTGCTTTGTTTAAGGGTGCTGGGCCCCAGGGCTTGGCAGGACTCGGAGCTCGTCGGGATGATGCTCGGCTCCAGGGCTTGGCAGACACCTCGGGGACCCAGGGACCTCCCTTGGCCACGCTCCGCCCAGTGTCTGCCCTCCACGTCCTCCCGCCCTGCTTCTCACTAGCGGGGAGGGGCCGGGCGGGGACTGCCCCATAACGAGTCCCTTCCAGGTGCCAGCTGTGCATCCCAAGGGTTGCAGGGTCAGGGAAAGCTGGTGGCCCCGCTCCCTTGGTTGTCAGGGCCCCTGGACAGCGCCTCCATACCCCATCTCTGGGCCATCTCATAATGGTGGCGTTTTCTGCAGCTCCGTGGCGTCCTGGACCAGACCCTGGGGTCGCAGTGGGGGCCTCGGCGCCTACAAGGGGCAGACGGCAAAGGAAACAGATGCCCTGACAGGCAGCAAGCCCAGAATGGCACTGCTCCCCTCCTCTACCTCCCTCGGGGTAGGCATACTTAGCTGCCTGCGCCGAACCTCCAAGGTGGTGATTTTGCTCCCTGGGGGTAGAAGTTGGCAGCCAAGCTGGTGGACGGCTGCGCCTTCCTCTGGCACCTCCCTTAGGTCAGGCCATGGATGGTGATGTTGGGAGCAGCGGGATAGCCTGGGGAGAGGGGAGGTGCCCGCACACCACGGACTCCAAGCACTGGGTCTGGGGCGAGCAGGTGGGAGGGTGAGCAGGGCTGGGCTGGCTCTGGGGAGTCTGGGTCTTGCTGCCCTGGGTGGGATGTTCAGGCCGTCTATAGACCCAGGAGGAGGGTCTGGAGCCGAAGCTGGAAGAGCTGCCTCATTCACACTCCTGCAGCCCACCCCAGCTCGTAGGCCGGCCAGTTTCTGAGGCTGCTAAGTGGGATCTCAGTCAAGGGCCATGGCTGCCAGGACACAGAGGTTGGGGTGGGGATGGGGAGGGACACGGGTGGGGGGGGATGGCTAGGATGGAGGGGAGGAACACAGGAGCTGGGATGGGGATAGGGAGGGACACAGAGGGCTGGGCTGGGATGGGGAGGGACACGGCCCGGCTGGAGATGGGGCATGAGTGGAGAGCTGACTCCTTACAGAGGCCCTGGAAAGGGAGGCCAGGGCCTGGCCCTGAAGCGTCCCTCGGGCTTGGGGCCACCTATTCCAGGCTCCCTTCCTGGCTGACTCCCAGGGCCACTGAGGATACCAATGTTCCCCCATTTGTCTCTCCCGCCCGCCTCCCCTTCTCAGCCCCCACAGTTGGGGGCAGAGGGGCACGCCTGGTCCACCTGGGCCTCAGCCAACTCCCTCCCAACACCTGGCCTAGGGCCTCCTCCTCCCTGACCACCCCCAGCCCCCCTTGGGCCGGCCCCAGGCCCGGGGCAGGTGCTCAGTATTTATGGACGACGCTCAGGTGTCCCTGAGTCTTGCTAATGGAATTTCCGGCCCCAGACTGAGGCCGGGGAGGTGTGGGGCTGCATGAGGGGCCGCCTGGAGGCCTGCTTGGCGCCGAGCCTCCGGGATCAAGATGTAAATCATTCCGTGAGACGGCCTCTGT